TTTTCGGCGGCCTCCAACATCAAATAGGTAGAGTTCCATCTAGTTGGTACATCTAGGCATACAAGAGCTTTTGAATCAAGTTTGAGTGTGGCTGCACACTTCTTAAAAGCATCTGCCTATGAGGAGAAGACCTCACATATCTCACCGCAAGTCTAATGTTGGCAATAGAATCATCCATTTCTTTCAACCCATCACTCACAACGTGATTAAGAATATGTGCACAACAATGCATGTGAATAAACTCATGTTGAAAAAAAGTTTCCTTCCAATCTTTGTTTATTGTTTTCAAATATTGAATGGTAAGATTATTAGAACTAGCATTATCAACTTTTAAGGTGGATATGCTATCAATGTTCCACTCAATCAAACACGACTCAATTTTCCTACCCAATGTTTCTCCTTTGTGATCTTCAACTTGTTGAAAATTTATGATTCTTTTTTGAAGTTTCCAGTTATCATCAATGAAATGAGCAGTTAAACACATGTAACACAAATTCTAAATAGATGTCTAAGTGTCCGTAGTAAAACAAATTCTACGACCCCTTATGGCCTTCTTTACCTTATCTCTTTCATTCTTGAATATGCTAAGCACTTCTCTAGATATGGTATGACGAGAGAGGATTGGTGTGTATTTCGGTTGCATGGCATTACAAAATCTTCTAAATCCAACTCCCTCCACAAATCTAAATGATAATTCATCAATGACAACCATCTTCTCAAGAGACCTTTTATAAGCATCAAAATTAAAAGTTGTTACTATAACCTCAACACCCTCTTCATTTTGTTTCGGTTTAAGATTTAATGTTTGTTGACCATCTCTATCCCTATTTGGATATTTTTTACAATTGGGTGTATGACTCCTCAAATTGCTAGTCTCATGAAGTCTAGAGTCAGCCAAATACTCTTTCTTGCAATATTTGCATACGGCTCTACGCTTCCCATCGATCCCTATAGCCCTATCAAAATGATCCCAAACTGTGGATGGTGCTCTCCCCCCTCCACCCTCACTCTTTCTCTTTGGAGGTCTAGGAGGCTTAGGTTCAAGTCCGGGTTCGGCTAAGAGGGGATTAATTTGAGAATTAAAGGATTCCAAAGGTAAAAGATTGATTACGAGAGATTGAACACTATCCTCAATTTAAATTGGATTACAAAAATTACAAATTCAATTTCAATAACATAACATAACTGATTACAGATTCAATTTCAACAATATAATTACAGATTTAATAACATAATAGATTCAATAACATTACAGATTTAATCACCCTCTAACAGATTCAATAACACATATTCCATAACAGATTTAATTCCAATAACACAGATTTAATTCTATTAACACAAATTCAATTCCAACTCTTAGATTTAACACAGATTAAATAACAGATTTAAAAAAATAAAAATAAAAAACAGAAATGATAACCCTCTAACAGATTCAATAACACATACTCCATAACAGATTTAATTCCAATAACACAAATTTAATTCCTATAAAATCGATTCAATTCCAACTCTCAGATTTAACACAGATTGAATAACAGATTTAAAACAAAAAAAAATGTTAACCCTCTAACTAATTCAATAACACATATTCCATAATCGATTTAATTCCAATAACATAGATTTGATTCCAATAACACAAATTCAATTCCAACTCTCAGACTTAACACAGATTGAATCACAAATTGAATAAAAGATTTTTTTAAAAAAAAATTGAAATGAGCAAATAACCCTTTAATAGATTCAATAACACATATTCTATAACAGATTTAATTCCAATAACACAGATTCAATTCTAACTCTCATATTTAACACAAATTGAATCACAGATTGAATAATATAATTTTTTAAGAAAAAAAAAGAGAAATGAACAAATAACCCTTTAATAGATTCAATAACACATATTCTATAATAGATTTAATTCCAATAACACAAATTCAATTCCAACTCTCAGATTTATCACAAATTGAATCACATATTGAATAATAGAATTTTTTTAAGAAAAAAAACAAGTAAAAATGAACAAATAAACTCAAAGACAGAGATGAACAAAAAAAATAAAAAATAAAAAATAAAAAACAGAGTTAGAGACAGAAATGAAAGAGAGAGAGGGGGAAAGAGATAGAGAGAGAGAGAATCAGTGACAGAAAGGCTTACCTCTGTGAGTTACAAAGTAGATTCGATCTTGCAAAGGTCAATCAGTCTCTTCGACGGCCGACACACACACACACACACACAGATGGAAGAACGAGAGAGTGAGATTAGAAGAGAGGCTACACACAAAGAGACACAGATCTGAATGTCCACATAAAAATAGAGATCGGGGAGAGAGACTGAGACAGAGACAAAGAGACACATAGCTGAAGAGAGAAATTTGATCTTGCGAGGTCGACTGATGCGATGAGAGAGTGAGGTCGATCGGTCGATCTTATGATGAGACAGAGTTGATCTCTTGTGAGGTTGATCGGTCCAGATGAAAAACGAGAGAGTGAGAGTTGCGCAAATGTGTTTTGACAGTTTAGATTAGGGTTTTTGTTTGTTTGTTTGGTTTGGGTATAGATGAAGTGAAGATGAACAGTTCAAATTTGAAATATAAAAATTAAAAAAAAATGTTTAATGTGGGCGGGTTATGAGGGTACGGTTCAAACTAGCGACCCGCCCGCAACCCGAAAATCAGCCAAAATCCAAACCACACCTGACCCTAATGTATTTGCGAAACTGCCCATATGCGTGTGGGTTGAATTGGGTAGGGCGATTTGGGCGGGTCGGATAACCCTATGCCCAGCCCTACTTCCATTAGGATACTTACGTGCAAGTCCTAATCGGTGGACTTACTATCCAATAGATCCTATGATTATTGATGGCATTTTTCATCAAACACTATTAAAAAGTCACTAATTGTTAATTTTCAGTGATAGTTTGAAAATTTTATCACAACAAATGTCACTAATTATAAGTTTTAGCGACAGTTTAAAATAATGTCACTAATTTTCAACTTTCAGAAAAAATTTGAAAAATTCTTCATAGAAAAACGTCAGTAATTGCAAGTTTTTAGCGACAATTTATAAAAGTCGTGGCAAAAAAAATTGCTAATTGTCAACTTTTAGCGACTTATATTCAATAGGACTTGATGAGAATTAAGTCTAACTATTAGAACCTATTGATAGGTTTTTTCCATTTTATGTCTGGTTTTGTGACCCGTTTCTATGTTCCTAAACTCATTCCATGAACAATTTTACTTTAAACACAAAAGTTAAATATAAAATACACATGAATTGACAAGATTTTACAAAATTTGTTTTTATTTATATATATAATTTTGCAATCGATTTATTTGTTCCTAGACTTATTTTGTATGAATTGATTGGCTTTCAGGGTCCTCTTACAAAGATATATCCAGATAAACTAAGACTTACAACAATACAATGCTTCTTTAGCTGCATACAATCGGCAATATGGGCTTTGGCAGTTGAGAGGAACATATCAGCATGGAAACTTGGTTGGGATCTTAACCTTCTTGTTGTGGCCTATTGTGTAAGATATCTTCTTCAACCTTTTTTTTCTTCTCTTTTTTTAAATTCTTTTTTTGGGTTGAATTAAGTGTTAATGAAAATGGCAGGGTGTAATTTTCGTAGCGCTGACATACTGGTTGAGAATTTGGGTGATAGAGAAGAGAGGCCCAATTTTTTCAGCTGCATTTAATCCATTAGCATTCATTGTTACAGCCATCTTCTCAGCAATCTTGTGGAAGGAGACCCTTCATTGGGGAAGGTCCATTTTCTTTCCTCTCAACTCTTGTTTTATGCGTTTGTGTCCATGTAATGTCAATTGTTACTTATTTTATTTTTTATGTTTGTTTGTTCGTGTTCGTGTTCATGTTGTGTCAATGTGAGAGAAATAAAATTTTCATGTTGTGGCAGTGTTTGTGGAGCTTTACTGCTAGTGGGAGGCCTCTATGGTGTTTTGTGGGGGAAGCACAAAGAAGCAAAAGCCAAACCATTACTTGAACAAAAATCAGAAACCAAAGAAGCCAAATCAGTTAAACAGAAATCAGAAACAAAAGAGGAAAGCGTATAGCGGTGTACAATCAAAATGCTGTGTACTTGAAAAAAATAATAAGTCAAGAACTTGAGTGCTGGTCACACTGTATTATTGACTTTTATAATTACCTTGTCCACAATTTCTTGTCGAGGAAAAAATATGAAAAATTTATCAACAAATCTCATATATAGCAGATTAATGTTGATCCATTTAATCGTAAGAGTTTTCTTATGAATCAATGAATTTATTTTTTTTTTTAGAAAGTTGTATTTATTTGATTTGAAGCCATTTAAGTTTAGGTGAATGTCCTTTTGTAATTCATTTTTCTAATTTTCTGATTCGTTTTTTAGATACAAATGGAAAAGTGAGGTGTGGAAAATTCTTTTGGGGGGTTGATTTTTTTAGTGTGACTTTCTGGTGTTAATTGGAGTATTGTTATATTAGAGTGTTACGTTTGGAAAAAGTATATGAAGGAATTTTTGTGTGTTCCAAAGATTGGAGTGTTCTGTTTGACAAAAATACACTAAGGAGTTTTTTTAGAATGTTATATTGTTACGTTTGAAAAAAATGCACTATGGAATTTTTATAATGTGTTACATTAGAGTGTTACAATTGAAAAAAAATATAGTAAAGAGTTTTTGTGTGTTACATTAATTGAAGTGTTACGTTTGAAAAAATTACACTAAAGAGTTTTTTTGGAATATATATATATATATATATTTATCAGCAAAAAAGGAAACTTTATTAATGAAGAAGCTATATACAAGCGGAGAACATACATCAATAAAGCAGGGGAGTGCAACAAATATCATAGTTAAACTCAACAATCCCAACTAGGTTGGTACCAAGGAGCTAACCTAATCATATGCCAGCACATTGCCCAAGATTAGAGAGAGTCCAATCAAACAGCCAGGAAAAAAAAAACAAAACAAAACAAAACACCCTCAACCAAACAAGCAAAAACAACTCTGCAGTAGCAACAACACCTAGCAGCAGCTTTGCATTCGCAAAAAACTAGCAATAGCAGCAGCAGCAAAACTGAGTCCCTACTTCACATAATAACATACCTGATTCAGATTCTCCACAAAATCATGCACTGAATAAGGGATCACAGGCAACCCAGACTTCACTCACAACCCAATCCTTACCTTTATAATTTCACCAAGCTTCTCCAAGTTCGGTTGCCTCTCATGAAAAACACAGTCATTTCTTAACCTCCATGCTAACCACAACATTGCAACTAGTACAAGCCGCCAAATCTTCTTAACTGTCTTCTTGAATTGTGTTCCCAGCCACCATAGCAGCACTCCATCAACAGTAGCAGGTGTGACCCAAGATAAGCCCCACCAATTCAGCAGAGAGGACCAAACCTTCCAAACCATAGAGCACTACAATAGAATATGATCCACTGATTCTTCGTCCAGCTTACAGAAAGGGCATAGATTCTCTACACTGCTACTCGCAGCCCTAAACCTCTTTAACATACCAATTGTTTTCACCCTTCATCTCCATGCCAACCAACTTAAGAACTGAGCTTTTGGTGGAGCTACACCTTTCCAAATCAACCTAGGGACCTGCAATCTTGGACCTTGATTCGACTCATACCATTCTCTTATTGCTGTCACAGTAAACTAACCATCCAGGGATGCATTCCACCTAATAAAGTCCTTCAGCCCCACATTAAGCCCAAGAGCATCTCTTATCAATACTTGCAACCTACTAACCTGCTCTTCCTCCCAAGCAAGAAGTGGTCTTCTGAACAGTAACTTCCAAACCCCTAAGCTATCCCTCATTTGCATGAAAGAACTCAATGACCTTTCTTTTTCCATAGATAATTGGAACAACTTGGGAAATTCCACTTTCAATTGAAGGTTCCCAAACCATCTATCATGCCAAAAATCAATCCTACACCCATTGCCAATCACAATCTTACAGTTGGATACAAAAGAAATCAAATAGTCCAAAGTTAGACCTTGACAAACTAAGTATGTCACTCCAAACAATAGATTCATTGCCAATCTCTTCCATCATTGGTAGTCATCTACCTCCTACTCCCCTATACTTGCTTATAATTAATTTTTTCCACACTGAATTATCTTCCACCCCATACCTCCATCACCACTTAGCTAACATAAAGTCATTTATGTCTCTCACCCTTCTTATGCCTAGCCCTCCTTGTTCTTTGCTTGGAGTTACACTTTTCCAACTCACTAAATGAATATTCCTTCTTATCTCTGAGCTACCCCACAGAAATGATGCCTTCAACTTATCAATTTCCTTTGCTACTCTTTTAGGGAGTTTGAAGATGGAAATGTAAAATCCCGAAAGGCTGTCTAGAATAGATTTTATCAATGTTAACCTGCCAGCAAAGGAAAACATCTTTCTTTTCCATAGAGCTAACTTGGTCTTTACTTTCTCCACCACAAGTTGTCAAGTCTTCGTTCTTCTTGGATCCCAAGTGGTAAGCCCAAGTACTTGAGAGGCAACCTCTAACATAGGCACTTCAGTTTTGAAGCAAAGGCTTGACCATTTCATCACAAATCCTAACTCCACACACCACACTTTTATGGAAATTTATCTTAAGTCCTAACATAAGCTCAAAGCATCTAAGGATTCTTTTGACAGTCACAATCTCCTCCCACTCTGCTTCACAAAATAGAATAGTATTATCGGCAAACTGGAGATGAGACAAGTTCAAACCGGCTGGCCCAATAGTAGCTCCCTTTAATAATCCCAAAGCTTTTGCCCTTTCCAATAATAGGTTAAGTCCTTCAGCTGCTATATTAAACAACAAGAAAGATAAAGGATCACCTTGCCTTAATCCTTTTTGTGGACAGAACTCCTTGGTTGGCAATCCATTAACAAGTATTGAAAACCTTGCCGTTGTGACACAAGTTTGTATCCAACCCAACCATCTATCCCCAAGCCTAGTATTTGCCATCATAGAAAACAAATACTCCAAGTTAACCGAATCATAAGCTTTTTCAAATCCAGTTTGAGTATCACCCCCTTCATTTTGGACTTCTTCCACCAATCCACCACCTCATTAGCAATCATTACCCCATCAAAAATGTTCCTTCCTCCCAAAAAGGCAGTTTGCACTTCACTAATCACATCTGGTAAGACCTTTTGCAATCTTTTTGAAAGTGCCTTAGCCAATACTTTATATACTACACCCACTAAACTTATAGGCATGTAATCAGCCAAACTTGAGGGGTTGATCTTTTTTGGAATAAGGGTAACAAATGAGCTATTAAGCCCTTTGACCAGCTTACTATTAATATAGAACTCCTGCATGAATTGGAATAGGTCACTCTTCATATACTTCCAGCATTTCTGAATGCACGCCATGTAAACCCATCTGATCCCAACGCTTTATTCCCATCACAACCTTTTACTGCATCTCATACTTCTTCCAATGTAAATTCTTTTTCAAGAAGCTCCACTACTTTTGCATTACTAACTTTCACAAACCTACCAGAAAATTTTGGTCTAGATGGCCAATCCTCTGAAAATGCCTTTGTAAAATGCCTTAGCACTTTCTGTCTCACCAGATCTGGATCTTCAATGCTAACTCCATCAATTAACACTAAGTCCACCAAGTTCCTTCTTTGTCTTTGACTAGCAATTATATTAAAGAACCGAGTATTTCTATCCCCATTTTGAGCCCAGTTCAATTTAGATTTCTAGAACCAAATTCTTTGTCTTTGGAATATTACGTTATTACGTTGAGAAAAATACATTCAGGAGTTTTTTAGTGTGTTACATTGGAGTGTTATGTTTGGAAACAAAGCATAATAAGGAGTTTTTGTATGTTACATTGATTGGAGTGGTACGTTGAGAAAAGTACACTAAAGAGTTTTTTTTTTTAATGTTACGTTGTTATGTTTGAAAAAAGTACACTAAAATTTTTTTTAGTGTGTTACATTGGAATGTTACATTTTTTTTAGTGTTACATTAAAGTGTTACGTTTGAAAAAATACACTAATTTTTTTTTTTTTTTGAAGTGCTATGTTTAGTAATTTGAACATTATGATAAAACTCACATATGTCCCTCAACAAATAATACACGCACATTTATATTTGGCCCATTATGTAATTCATACTAGAATGAGACATTTGGGTTCATACGAGGGGGAAAAAAATAGAATCAAACAATTCATAAAATTACTATTTGAAATTTATTGATACTTCATCCAAAAAAAAATTTGTAGATACATTTAACATTACTGCTGGAATCCAATATTGGAGCCCTGTATCGAACTATAAAACCCCAAATTTTGACTCAACAAAGCAAAAGCCTACGAGATTTCAAATTTTGAATTTTTGAAATACTCACTCACAATGCTATAGAGACTAATCCAAAAATTCAAATTCTTTAGAAAATCCTCGATATTTTAGTTTCTACGTAGAGAAGTCATGAGACATCTACTATATAGCATTACAGAAACGTCAAATTTCTTAATGATGTGTTTGGTTAGGGGATTTGAGAAGGGATTTTGAAAGGAAAAGAGAAAAGAGAAAAGAGAAGTAAAATGAAAATAAAATGAAAATACGTTTCATCTAGTTTCACACACCTTTTATCTTTCCATTTTTAAATCTCCCAACCAAACAAAGTATAAAAAAAACACTCAGTTGAACGAAAGAAAGTTGAATTCAAATGGTTAAGTCACTAGATTCAAGTTCGTGCTTAGGAACCAAAAACCAGTATGTTGTGCATTCAAACAAATAGATGATACATACTAATGTTTTTAAAATCGGACAGGCTGGTTTGACTAGTCCAAGATCCAGTCCGAGTACACCCTTAAATCCATTTCCTTTGAAAAACCGACTTCTTTTAACGAAACCAGCGAAACCTATGGATAAACCAACTTAACTGCCAAACCAAAGCCGGGCAGAGCAAACCAGCCAAACTTCCATGCATCAAAAATAAGTTGCTGAGAGGGATCAAACTCAACACCTTGCATACTAATTGATATTTAATGTTACACACTTGACTTGTTAATATACACTTTATTAGTCTATTTATTTATATTATTTTATAATTTTATATGATTTTGTGTATTTATATTTATTTTGAGTGTTTGTGTATATTATAAATAATAAGTTTTAATATTATATTATTGATATAAAGAA